AAGAGAAGACTCCCTGGAAAAGACCCTGATGTTAGGAAAGTGTGATGGCAAGAGGAGAAGGGGACGACAGAGGATGAGATGGTTGGACAGTGTCATCGAAGCTACCAACATTAATTTGACTGAACTCTGGGAGGCAATGGAAGACAGGAGGGCCTGGCGTGCTCTGGTCCATGGGTTCACAAAGAGTCGGACATGACTAAATGACCAAACAACTATAACAGCAACTGTTGGTCAGTTTTACCTGAACTGGAAATACAGTCTCAATAAATTTAGTCAGAGACTCTGGTGTGGAGAAAGAATAAAATGTTTCTCTTTTATTCACAAATCTTATATGTCAGAATAACAGACAAAACATACTGTTACATAGTTAACTGGTTAACTTCATTATTTGACTGGTTACATAAACACTTCACTCAGACTCTGCTGACTCCATTGCTGTCAGATTATAATACATACAGAACCTTAATATTGCTAATGGACTCAGAACCCCGACACTGAGCAAAAAGGTGAAAAAGAAATCTGAGGTAGAGAGGGAAGAATTGGCTGCTGCTAAGTGATTGACATTCAGCTCCAAAGTTCCTCCCATCCAAACCTCCTAAAGGCATAATATGCAGATTGCTATAATTATAAGTTAATAGCGTATATGGAACACTCTTAGGATGATTTAAGATGTTAGAAGGAGAACTGAACTATTATAATAAACACTTGTTGCAAGCTTGAGAAATTTGAAGCTTAAGACTGAGATATTTTTGCATGTTTTACTACAGGTACTTAAAGCCTCCAAAGAGGTCCATCTGGCTTCTCCAAAGGCAATGGAGACATCTGTAGGTGGTGAAAGTAGGGAAAGTCAGCCTTTTGTCAACAGAAACTTTTAAAAAAGACAGTAGAGGTATTACATCTGGCATAATTTTGGAACTATTTCGCTTAACTCCAAATTTTATGCCACCTTTCTTCAGAAACAATTCCTTGAGCTCATCTTATTTGCCACATTTTGGTGATTCAGTAAAGCCTGAACTTTGTTTCTATCAATAGATCACATGATAATTTCTTACATTTAAAATCAATCTATTCAGAAGTTTTTTTCCCTTCTAGGGTACCAAAGCTAAGGAACCAGAAGTCAGATTTTTGTACAGTTGTCTGAGGTTCAAGTGGGTACATTTAGAAACTGAACATATTAGCTATGTATACATGACTGCATGAATAGAATAAGGATATAGTTGCTGAAATCCAGTAGTAAGTTGTAACTAGTGTAAGCTCCACTGAAGCAATGGAATTTTCATAGGTGTTTTCTCACCAAATCCCCACTGATTCAATAGGCCTACTTTAATTGCAATTTACTATTGGATTTCCGGTAATGTGGATTATTGCAACTGACACTGGATTTAGGCTGGGAGGGACAGTTGAGGCAGCAGTTTACATGACAAATCTTTGCTGCAACCTGAACAGCTGTTTAGGATAAGATTCCCTCACCTTGAAAATCCAAATCAGTTTTGGCACCACAGAAACATACTTTATTAGCAATTTTTAATGAACTGACAAGCCTTCTTTGACTATTGCTGGTCCAAAAGATTGTACTGTATCTCCCTTTATGAGCCTTCCCAGATATTGAGATGAGCAGGTGAGCTCTTTCTCTTGGTCCCACAACCATCAAAGGAAGGTTTAGTGAGGACACAGAGGAGGACCTTCTCTGTCACTGATCTCAAATTTTGTAACTCCCTCCCATTGGAGGCCAGGCTGCATCTTTGCTGCCCTTCCACAAGCAGATGAAGACCTTTTTATTCAGGCAGAATTTCCTTTAGACGATTGGTTTGATCTCAGGGATTTTTTAAAAGAAGCATTTTATTCTGTTTTCAATATTGTTCTTATTGTGAATTTTAATATACTTACTGCTTTTAAAATATTTAAATAATTAATTATTTTGCTTTTAACTTTATTTCTTTAATATGTTGTATCCTTTGAGGAAAAGATGGCATATACATATTTTAAATAAATAAATAAATACATAAAGTAGAACCCCATATCTGTGGGGGATCTGTTCCAAGCCCCCGCTGCTGAAAAATGCAGATTACAGCAGACACTATTATAATAAAGAATGCTGTAAGTGTACATGGTATCTAGCTTCCTCTAGTGGCCAGTTCTGGTAACTTCATCATTAGAAATATACTGTATACTGTACGGGATTTCTCTTTTAATATTTTTCAGACTGTGGATAAGTGAATTAGTGGATACTCATTTGCAGATAAGGGGATCCTACTGCAACAATAATATTGTTATTAATAATAATAGTGATAGGCTGATGTATTCTGTCTCTCCTCACGCTTCACTGTTAACATTCTAAGTTCTAAGTTGACTTTAACAGGCTATACAGTATTGGCATAGAAGCTTGCCATATTTACTAGCTGGGGTGGTTTAAAACGTTTTACACAGATCAAACTTCAGGGACAACTCCTCTTTTCTTGGTGCCTTATGTTTAATTCTTGATGTATATGACAAAAGAACAAGAAACAAAATTCTGGATTACTTTATTTAATTCAACGGGCAACTCTCACTTCTACTGGTTGCACAGAGGAATAAGGAACATTTGAAAATGGCCCCGACGAAGCAACCGCAAAGAACACCTCTAAAGGCAACGCCTTGCCTGCGCTCGCTCCTCTTGGTCTGTTCGTACCACGTGACTTGGCACGGAATAGCAATACTCGCACCACCTTCTTTCGGTGGCGAGTGGCAGTTAGGCGCGCCTGCGCAAAAAGGTCTCTGTGCTGTGGTACGATCGCGGTTGCCGGACGAGCGTCTCTATATGGGGAAAAGAAGATGGCTCCCTTCCCTGAGGAGGTGGATGTTTTCACGGCCCCGCACTGGAGGATGAAACAACTTGTCGGGCTGTATTGCGACAAGGTACGGAGGGGGAGATTTGGCAGCAGAAGCGCAACACTCGACAACTGTTCCCCTTACCATGGAGGCCGAGACGCCGCTCTTCGGCCTCCGTCCGTTCTGTATGGTGGTGCGTAAGGGAGTGTGCGCGCGCTGTGGGAAGAGGGGGGGGATCTGTTTAGCGACTGCGCAGCTGTCACCGCCTCGCGCGCGGCGCTACTCTACCCCCCCTCCCCGCTCCTTAATTGAGGAGTTTCCCTCCTGCTTAGCGACTGCTTTCGTCCTCCTCCTGTGCGCGTTTTACGATGTTTTCCCAGTGTAATCGCGGACGTCACGACAGTGGAAGCCATTTGGTTGATGGAGGCGTAACTATTTTTCTCTCCGGTGGTAGCAACCTGCGGGATGCCACTTCTCTTTCCCGCTGCGCCCCAAGCCTTTCCGGAAAGGTTCTGACTTGCCCGCACCTAAGACATGATTTCCAGCTGAAAATCCGTTTAAATTAGTACTGTTCGCATGTATACCAGGCAAAATCCAAAGAAACAAAACATACGAAAAAGAGACAAAAACGTGGCACCTTATAGACAAATCATTATATTCTAAGCTTTCATGGACACGTCCACTTGGGCAGTCATTAAGAGACAGAATGAAATATATATGAAATATCAGTTTTGCTTTTAAATGTCCATTGGTTAGCTGCACTAACTAGGCTCATGATTGTTTTACAATCCTGTTGTATAAATACTTCAGGAAAACAAAACAATCACTACGTCTGAGCAGAGATGAGAGGTTGGGGGAGAACAGAGAGATGGGTTTTGAGGGGTTTGAGGATGCAGGAACCCTCAAGAGGGAAGAGAAAGAATGAAAGAAGTTAGCAGAGGAATCACGTGTGTTAATGTAGGGAATACAGAAAGTTTTTATCTTAAGAGCTTTGTGTTGAGAGATGGGCATGGTATAGTGAAGACGACTAGAACATTTAGTAATGGCTTAAGAAATATAGGTTTGTATTCAGTCCATATCTATGGGTACCCATCATGTATGTAAGTTTTGTTTTAGCTGTTTCCCTAAATATTCTTGATTTGCAATGATTCTGTTCTAAAATACTGATGTTTAAATCTTCCACAGAGTGACCCAGTAGATTGAAATGGTTGGAGCCAGCTTTCTGTGTATTGGGGCTTCATGTTAGATTTGTGGCAGTTGATCCATTTCCATAGAGATCTCTGTGTAGAGTGCAGAGGGGCATTGTTGGCAAAGATGGCGTATATCTCATTAGCTGAGGAACAAGTGAAACTGCTTTAGATATTGTGTGACATTGTTAGGTCCTGTGATTGTGTTGCCAGAATAGATCTGTGAGCAGAATTGGCATCTGAGTTTGTGGCGTGGAGTCATCTCCTTTTAATTTTTCCCTGTTCTTTGATGCAGCCCTTTGTCCTGGCTCAGTGCTAAATCAAAGCCTAAGTATATGCAAACTAAGTTTTTCAACTAATTTTTCTTCACCTTTGTTGAAAATTTCAGAGTATAAAGTAGGAATTTTTGTGTTATTTTTCATTGTGTAAATTAATTAACTGGAAGGAAGAGAGGTGTGAGAGACTTGGAATGAAAGGAGAGGAAGTCTCAGAGGAGTGCTAGAAATAGTTTATTGCTCAACCTCTTTTGGGTTTAATAATTATTCCAGTTGTGCATAACATCTTTGGTTCTCCTTCAAAAGGGCTGCATTATCCTCATCCCTGAGGAAGACTTTCAGTAATTAGAATTTATTAAGCAGTAAGCAGTGCTTTTGATGTCTCCTCTCCCTTTTTACTCTGATAGAGTGATACAAATGGTTTATGTGTGTGCATGCATCATGCATACGCTTAATAATAGCCTGCTGCTCTCAGTGAGGTGACTTTCCGTTCTTGTCAATGAATAAATGACAGAGAGGCTTCTCAAGATTGGTGTACTGACTACAATCAACTGAGTTTCACATGTGTATAATGAGATGTTTTTGCAGATCGACTGAGAGTGGGAGACTTAACGAAGTAGCAGAACTACAGATGAGTAAATTTACCTAATGTTAGTCTTCTGGTAAAAGGCAGTCAAGTTGGAATGTGCATTACACATTTCTAAAGGAATAATACCATCTTATGTCTGCCATCATTTTGGTCCTGTACTGTATATGTATTCCATATAAATACAGAATAGCTTCTGACCAGTGTATCTGCAGTAACTTGAGATGTGAATTCAAAAGGTTATATATGTTTTTAAGTGGGTTATATTAATATATTCAACTAGATACAATGTTGTCCCTATCTTCAAAAATGGCAAAGAAGAGGAACCTGGGAACTACAGGCCAGTCAACCTGACATCAATCCCAGGCAAAATTCTGTAACAGACCGTATACAGTCAGCTTCTTATTAAGCCATACTCTCTTTGTGAGTCTAGACAACATGGTAGCTGCTTTGCCAATGCGTTTATCTAGCTTAACATCTAGGGAGAGAGTGTCAGAGACCGTTGAGCCAAGGTACACAAAGTCATGAACAACCTCTAATTCTTCTGTAGAGATGGTAATAGAGGTAGCGGAATCCACGCCCTGGCCCATCATTTGTGTTTTCTTCAGGCTGATTGTTAATCCAAACATTGTGCGAAAATTTCAGGTGCCCAACTTTAGGGCAGAAGTTTTCTTATGATTGTTGTTGGTGCAGGGTTATCAATCTGCTTGTTGGCTTTCACCCTAAACCCCACACACCCTGTGAGGTTAACAGACCGTGGCCAGGCAGCGTCTTATTGGCTGGGGGCTGCCCAGCTTAAGGTGGCTGGTAGCTACCTAGTGAGGTGCAATGCCCTCTCCCACTGTCAGAAGTAGCCCCTGGCCATCATGCTCTATGCCAATTGAGCAAAGACTTATAACCGGTGTGACGTACACCCTGTGTCCTTTGTTTATTTTCCCTTAAACACAAGACCACTCTCTGGATGTATGTCCTCACTTCACGCTGCCACCAGGTATTATTCCCTTAATACCAAAATCTTAGATACGTGCTGCCAAAACAACAGATTTACTGTATTGATAATATAGAAGTTATGCAGATCACAGGAGAAATCACAGATCTTTAGAATTATTCATTAAGTATATTTGCTTTCACTTGGGTTTGTATGTGTTCTTATTTACTTTTACAATATTCTTTGACTATCTACTTATTCTTTATGTATTTGAACTCTTTCCTATTTTTTCTAGTCTTCCAAGTTTCCAGTGTCTGTCATAACTTTCTCAATTCAATCTCCTAACTTTCTCTCTCCAATTCCCTATCTGCAACCTCTTTTCTCCAACTCTCCTCCCTAACTATCTAACTCTTCAACATCCTTTTGGTTCCGCCCCTCCTGTCTTCTCATTGGCTCCTCCCTTGAGCTTCCAGTGATGGACAGGCATGACATGGGGGTTCCGCTACAACCGGTAACTGGTATTTCCCGTGTTATTTCGACGCTGTATGCAAAACTGGAGTGTACAGAGCACGAGGCCTGGGTAAAATAATATGGAGAATAGGCTGTTACCCAGGCAGCAAATCTCCCCTCTCCGTGTAACTGAAATAGTCCAATGGAAAGGGAAGAGCCAATATAACTTGTTCCACTGATGTTGCAGAAGTTACCAGAACATCACGAACTGCCTCTGGGACTCCGGCATCGGATTTTGCCTCGAGATTAACTCCTGAAGCCTGTGCTTTTGGGGAATGGAAAGGAGTATAAAAGAAAAGAGGGTGGTGGAAAGGAGTTTCAAAGGTGTGGAGAAGGAAAGGGGGAGGAAAGGAGTTGGGAAGGGATGGAAAGTAAAGGGGGTGGAGAGGAGTTTAGATGGTTCTCACCATCAGGAAATTCCTCCTTATTCCCAGGTTGGATCTCCGTCTGACAAGTTTCTACCCATTGGTTCTTGTCCTACCCTCAGGCGCAAAGGAGAATAAATCAATGCCCTCTTCCCTGTGGCAACCCTTCAGATATTGGAAGACTGTTAACGTGTCTCCCCTCACTCTTATCTTTGTTAAGCTAAACATACCTAGTTCTTTTAGTCATTCTTCATAGGATTTAGCCTCCTAAATTTCATATTTCATAGGATTTAGCCTCCTAAGTTTTAGAAAATTTAGATAATTTTCTAAAATTTAAGGTCATCAGTATTATTTTAAAATACTGCAAATTTATCTCTTCATAGTATTTATTTCCTTTCTGTGCTCAGTGGGATCCCAAAGTAATTTAAAACATCTCCAATTCTATGCAAAGACAGAACACTAAATCTTCTTTTCTACTGGGGCTATTCCTACATAGAAACTGCTCTACTTGCTTGCTGTAAAGTTTGCCTCTTCATGCAAAATGCCACTGTTGCTAATTTGTCTTGTGATGGAAAGGGGAATATTCTGCTTCTTCCCCTTCTAGCCATGATACCATGCAGCAGTTCTGTTTCTATGTCTATGTTTTTAAGTCTGGTAGGCTTCTGATGCTGAAAGCGGGAGAAAGACTGCTTACTGTGGGAAAGTACGTAGCTGAATGCTCAAGTTTTCTCTTTCGGAAAGAAAAGGCACAACACATTCACAGGTGCCAGCATGCTGCACAGTTTTCTACACCAGTACTTGCCCAGTGGGCTACATTATAAGGCAAAGAAAGGAATCAACAACGTACAAGACTGTATTAGGTTATCTTTTTTTCTCGAAAGAATGTTTATAAACTGAATTATCATTTTCAGTTTTACATTGAGGACAGTATTTCTCAAGTGTGTACTCACGATCAGGGCTTGAAAAATGCACTCATCCACTGGTCTGTGATGAGTGAAAAATATTGTTTGACGAGTCACAGCTCCCTGCCTGCCTGCCTCCTTCCCTTCCCCCTCTCTCTCTCTNNCCCCCTCTCTCTCTCTCTCTCTCTCTCTCTCTCTCTCTCTCTCTCTCTCTCTCTCTCTCATCCTGCAGTGCTTCCCTCCCCCCTCCCATTGCAAAAGGAAAACTGCCCTCTTCTTGTGAGAAGAGAGTTTAAGCAGCACATAGAGACAGAGCTCTGCAAGAGAATGTAGA